GAGAAGGAGAGGGAGAGAGTGAGATTAGGGTTTTGGGGGAGCGGCGCCAGCCGTGGTTTTGTTTCACCGAAACGGCCGGACAGCCGTCCGATACAGATGAACGGCTCAGATTGAGCCAGCGCCGAGCAGGCCGGTGGGGCAGCGCGGCCTAGGCCCAGGTTGCGGCCTGGGCGCGGGTGAGCGGGCGTGCGCGCCCGATGGGCCGTGGCTGGGCCACGAGCAGCCGCGCGCTGCTGCTGGGGAATGGGCCTCGACTGGGGCCGCACGCAGTAGGGCCTTGGGCTGCCTCTGCTGCTCGGGCCAGAAGGAGAGCTAGCAACAGTGCTAAGTGTGAATTTTGTTTTCCAATAAAACGTTTGTTTGCTGGAAAACAATTAATGGCTCAAGAAAATATAGAAAAGAGTTTTTTCCACTCTTTTTCCTGTGGGTAAAATTAAGTTTTATGGTTTTATTTATTTATTTTCAGAAGCGAATCTTGATGAATTTTTTTTGATTAGTTTTTCATCTCTATTCAATTTTGAACCAACGGGATAAATTGTTCAGAGAGTAGATGAGTACAATGAGATGCTTCTGAAAAGTAGATAAACAATTTATTAAGGTTCCGCTGCAAAGTTTAATGTGATTATCTTCTAATTAAATTTGAACCAATGGAAGATTTTAATTTGAAGAGCAATTATATTTAGCAAATTAAGAATATGTTAATCCCCTGATTAAAATTGGAAGATTTTAATTGGAGGAGTAGTCGTATTTGTTTAAGTTGATTAAGTTTTCCATGCATTAATTCTATTTCTGCCCAACGGTGATATAGAATTGATATAGAAGAATGATGTAATTATAATATTGCTATTTTTCTGACCAACGTTAATAATAGCAATATTATAACCTTTTTATGAGTTTTCTATGCATTAATTCTATTTCTGCCCAATGATGATATAGAATTAATGTAGAAGGATTAACGAGTTTTCTATGCATTAATTCTGTTTCTGCCCAACGGTGATATAGAATTAATGTAGAAGAATTTCTGAGTTTTATGCATTTGTTCCATTTTTGCCCAACGGTGATATGGAATTAATGTGGAAGAATGGTTGTATGTTTCAGTTTTGACTAAAGATGGAAAAGACTGACAACTGTTGATTTTAATCAACACTTGACGTTACTCGGCTGCATTCCAATGGATTGCGATGCTGGGCTATGTGAACGAAAAGGCTCATTATGATAAGAGATGCAATAAGTAAGATGAATGTTTAAGCACTTCCTATGTCTGGAGAGCTAATTCTGCGATTTATGTCCCCTACAGGGAATTATCCCGCATGCCGGGAGAAGTCTTGGCATAGTTCTTATGATATTCAAATCCTACATAGCGGGAGAAGTTTGTGATGACTCATATGTTTTAGAGTATCCCACACACTGGGAGTAGTTTGGGATAGCTCTTCTGCTATCCTAGTATTGACCATGCATTTCTATTATGTCATGGTCATTAAGAACTCAATGAGTCGAGGGCCATAAAGGGTGCAATCTCATAATCACACCAATGCTAAAAGAAGGTAAAGAGTCGATTAACTGACTCTTTACAAACGTATGCGGGCACTATAATTGAGTAGCTCGTTGCGGAGTAATCTAGTAATGGTGGAATGTGCATTATGAATGTATAATATGGCCACTAAGATGGAGTCATTAGACATAGATCGAAAGGAAGGGAAAAGTTTAAGGCTTGACATGTTGAATCTATCAACTGAGCAGAGCAACTCAAATCCTTCCTTGTAGTATCATTTCGCCATGAAATGAGTTTAAGGACAAAAGAAGTTGCAAACGAACCAAAGATAAGCAAGCATGACTTGCAGAAGTACCGCTAATAAAGGACCTTGTTGAGTCCTTGAAGTGGAATGAGAAAAGTGTACTCCCATACGATTAAGAAATAACTTTGTTTGCATGATATAATCATGCGAATGAAGTACGTCAGAGATGTCTTCTCGTTCACAAGAGTTATAAATAGTTTTTGAAATTATGGCAAAAAGGTTCATGCCATATTTCGAGGGAGAGAATTGTAGAAGGATAATCTCCCTATAATGCAATGCATAGTATGCATTGAGAGCAAGTGATCTATAAAAGATGAATGTGACCGTCAGCGGAGTACAACGGTCATAATAATGATACTCCTAAGCAGAGAAATAGCTAAATTTCTGGACCTTTCACAGTTCCGATAGAAAGATAGCGTAGCCAGTATTCATACTGGACGAGCCTCAAAGTGATTAAAGTGTCATATGAGGTTCTAAAAGATTAAACCCAAATAAGAATTTTTGAAGATACACCATCTTTTCAGAAGATGGGATGATCTGGGGGAGCAGGGTATGTAGAGATCTAAGACTTGAAGAGAAATGGGACTGCGTGCCCACTTCAATGATTCAAGAGTGACAAGTTTCTCAATACCTGTTGATGTTGTATGACTCATACAACACATGTTATTAGCTCTTCAAGGAAGATGAATAATGTAAACAAGGATCTTGTTATGTAAGAACCTGTAGAATCAATTGTCTTTTGACAATGAAGAGCAACAATAGCCCCATATGAAAGAAGTGCCAGTAGCTGAGGCCACAGACTATGAAGTCTATGCTAAAGAAGCCATGAGAAGCGCTCACTCATCTGAATGGCAAGAGGCTATGAAAGATGAGATGAAGTTGATTAGTACCAACGATGTTTGGGACTTAAAAGAAATTCCTAATGGAGTCAAAAGCAGTAGGCTGTTAATGGGTCTACAATACCAAATGTGACTCCAAAGGGGACAGAGAAAGATGTAAGGCGTGACTCGTGGTGAAAGGCTTTACGCAAAGAGAATGAATAGGTTACAATGAGAGTTTTTCTCATGCAAGGATTATTTTAGAATCATGATGGCACATTATGGTTTCGAGTTACATCAGATGGATGTAAAGACGACATTCCCCAATAGGGATTTGTATGAGAAACGTTAACATGGCACAACCCCGAAGGTTTGTTGTGGAAGAAAAAAGAACGTATGGGATGCCGCCTGAAGAAATCCATTTATGGATTAAAGCAAGCCTCTAGGATGTAGCAATTAAAGTTAATAAAGTAATAAGAAAGTTTGGGTTTAAAGAGAATGTAGAGGACAATTGCATTTATGCAAAGTTCAAAAATGGAAAATTCATTTTTCGCATCCTATGTATAGATAACATCCTACTTACTAGTAGTGATGTTGATCTGCCATGGGAGAAGAAGAAGTTCTTATCCTCAAGTCACAATATAAATGATCTCGGTGAAGTGTCATTCGTTCTAAGAATTGAAATTCACCGAGATTGAAGAAAAGGGGTATTAGGTCTATCGCTAAGGCATACTTTGAAAGATTTTAAAGAAATAAAATATGCATGCGAGTAAGCCTACGCCTGCTCCTATAGTCAAGGATAATAGTTATGGGACCTTTCAGTGTTCCAGGAACCAATAAGAGATCGATCGAATGTATATGGTTCCATATGCTTCAGCTGTTGGAAGCTTAATGAGTGCACAAGTAAGAACTTACCCTGACATAGCTCACGTATCCGGGATATTTTGGCAGAAGTCCATTCCAGATATAGATCACTGGAATGGAGTTAAGAATGTTTTGCAATTTGCAAAGTTTTATAAGCCTCATGATGAGTAAGATAGAATGAGTACTCTCAAATAGTTGTGAGTACAAATGTTAAGTTTCAGCGAGTTGTGTAGTGAAATCCACAGTAGTTGCTAACACTCGCAATTGGAGTTTTATTGTGGAAAAGCTCCAAAGAAACAGTTGTGGCATCATCAATGATGCATACCTATAGTATGGCTTGTTATGAGGCTTAAGGGACAGGCATAAGTGGTTAAGAAAAATATGTACCCGGAATCAACAATGGTTGCCAACAGCAATAACCATTTAAAGTAATAGACTCCTATGATAACAGGTCAAGTGTGATGCCAAACACAATGGCATTAAGTTATATGTTGTAAAGGAGAAAATCCAGAATCATTCAGAAAGTATTAAGCGTATAAGTACCGAGCAAGTACTTGCGGATCCGCTTACCAAATGATTACCACCCAGTGCGTTCAGAGAACACACAGTCGACATGGGTTTATGAGAAAGCCTATGATTTCTGGATACTAAGGGCCCAGTTAAGAATCTATTTCATAACAGAGAGGTGCATTGTAGCTGTTAAATCTAATGGCAACAGACCGTGACAATAAGGCACGCTCTATGCACTGATCTGTGATGGAATAGGAACAAGAGAAAGTAAGAAAGTTAAGTTTAAGTCATGAGAAGAGATCAAGGGGGAGAATGTTAGATCGGCCAATTGGGCCCTTAGATCTACGCCCTGATCGGGGGGCCAACCCTAATTGGTTGGTGGGCCTCCATCGCAGTACTGTAAGAGGGGAGGTGGGGGCCAGGGCACTGTGCGCGAGGTTCCTCCGAGCCGCCTGGCACCCCACCGTGACTCCGAAAGACCTAACCGATCTTAAGACAAGTCCTGCCAACGACGGGATGCTCCATCACCGGCGCTGCTATTGCCTACGACGAGCTAGCGGGCGTCTACACGCCTACTCCAACTACGGCTCAGTGCCCGTGTCACGGTTGCAGTGTGAGCGTGATTCGGCATGGCAAGGTTGTATTTGGATTAACCAGTAAGTCATTGCCCCTCGATCTACTCCTAGAATGATCCTAGAGGTCTACAAGAAGAAGATGACGATGGTTGGGGCCTATCTCTATCACCAACGATTTCCCAATCGAAAGCACGGTCCATGCTATCGGTGATCTCCAACCCCAACCGGCCAACTCCCGGTCCCAATCCGCATCGAGGCATAGGGCGGCCGCTACACGCGGAAGCCGCCGCCCGCCACCAGGGCGCCAGGGGCGGAGCCGCTCCCCGCTGCCAGCAGCCGAGCGCCCGAGCCGCCGTGTCAGCCCCCAGCCACCTCGCGGCCATGTGGAGCGAGCAGGAGCGGCCGGCGACGGCCTGCGGGCGAGCGGCGAGCCAGCGATGGAGGGAGGAGGAGCAGCAGCACAACTGCCCAAGGTACAATAACCCGGAGCCCGCTTCTGAATTTGAAGTCTGAATATATAATTGTATTCACCTACTTGCGAAAGCGCTGCTTTTGGGTGAGCGTGATTGATGGTTATGTGTACCCTCCCTAAGCATGGTTCTGTTTGGTGCTTTTGATTAGCATTTAGCTTGTACACAGAGGTCGACCCAGCTAAAAAAAATTTCTGGCTCCGCCACTGCTTCACGTCGTCGTCCTTGTTGGACTCCTCTCCCTGCAGGCGTCCTGCTCCGCCGCCAGGGACACGGTGTCACCCGGCAACGGGCTCGCCGGCACCGGCAGCAGCAGGCTCGTCTCCAACAACAGCAAGTTCGCGCTGGGCTTCTTCAAGCCGGACATCACGCCCTTCCACCGCACCACCAGCAACCCCAACACGTACCTCGGCATATGGTTCAACAAGGTCCCCAAGCTGACCCCACTCTGGAGCGCCAACGGGGACAGCCGGTCGACCCCGCCATACCCGAGCTCGCCATCTCCGGCGACGGCAACCTGGTCATCCTGGACCAGACCACCAACTCCGTCATCTGGTCCACCCGCGCGAACCCCACCACCAACGACACCGTCGCCGTGCTCCTGAACGACGGCAACCTCGTCCTGCGGAGCTCCTCGAACTCGTCCGCCGTCTTCTGGCAGAGTTTTGACTACCCGACGGACACATTCTTCGCCGGCGCCAAGATCGGCTGGGACAAGGCGACGGGCCTGAACCGCCGCCTCGTGTCGAGGCAGAGCCTGGTCGACCAGGCTCGGGGACTCTACACGTACCCTGGGGTTCGACCGCGACGGGGTCGGGCGGAACTCCACCGTGGAGATTGTGTCCACCGGGCGGTGGAACGGGCAGTACCTCAGCCTGGTGCCGGAGATGATCGGGCCGGTCCTGCCGACGTTCAAGTTCAAGTTTGTGAACAACGACCAGGAGGTGTACCTCACGTACACGCTGCGCGACGAGACGGCGATGGCGCTCACGCAGCTGGGCGTCAACGGCCAGGCCTTCGTGGAGTGTGGAACTGTGGATGGACGACCTGCAGGACTGGTTGGTGCACTACAGGCAGCCCGTGCATCTGTGCGACACCTACGCGACGCGTGGGCCTTTCACGGTCTGCGACGACACCGCCGACCCGATCTGCAGCTGCATGAAGGGTTTCTCTGTGAGCTCGCCCGTGGACCGGGAGCTCGGGGACAGGAGAGACGGGTGCGTCAGGAACACTCCATTAGATGTCTGTGGAAGCGGCGGCGACGGCGGCAGCAAGACGGCGTCGGCTCCCACGGATAGGTTCTACGGCGTGCAACGCGTCAGGTTGCCCCATGGCGCGGAGACAGTGCAGGCTGCGACGAGCGGAGACGATTGCTCACGGGTCTGCCTGAGCAACTGCTCCTGCACTGCGTATTCATATGGGGAAGGAGGAGGCTGCTCTGTCTGGCATGGCAAGTTGACCAATGTAAAACAACAACAGTCTGATGGTTCTGGTGATGGAAATGGGGAGATGCTTTACGTACGCCTCGCTGCAAAAGACGTGCCAAGTGCGGCGAGGAAGAAGAGTAGGGGAGTCGGCATCGGTGCTGCCATTGGCGCAAGCGCTGCGGTCTTCGGCCTGATGGTGGTTGCTCTGGTGATCTGGAGGAGAAAAGGGCAGTGGTTTGCTCACACAGCGGGAAATGCTCAAGTCCGCGGCATTGGGGTCATTGCATTTCGATACGCCGATTTGCAGCGTGCCACTAAAAACTTCTCTGAAAGGTTAGGAGGAGGCGGTTTCGGCTCCGTGTTCAAAGGTTACCTGAGTGACTCATTCACCTTAGTGGCAGTGAAGAGGCTTGACGGCATCAAGGAGAGAAGCAGTTCAGGGCAGAAGTGAGCTCGATCGGAATCATCCAGCACATCAATCTAGTCAAACTGATCGGGTTCTGCTGCCAAGGCGACAAGAGGCTACTCGTGTACGAATACATGCCAAAGCACTCCCTTGATGTGCATCTGTTCAAAAAGGCCAGTAGTGATAGTCTTGGCTTGGAGCCTCAGGTACCAGATAGCCGTTGGAGTAGCCAGAGGCCTGGCCTACTTGCACACGGGCTGTCGGGACTGCATCATTCACTGTGACATCAAGCCAGAGAACATACTCCTCGACGCGGCGTTCGTACCTAAGATTGCGGATTTCGGGATGGCAAAGGTCTTGGGGAGGGAATTTAGCCATGCGATAACTACGATGAGAGGAACCATCGGATACCTTGCGCCCGAATGGATTGGCGGAGAAGCTGTCACATCGAAAGTGGACGTTTACAGCTACGGGATGGTCTTGTTTGAGCTGATATCCGGGAGGAGGAACTCAAGCCAAGTGTACCTCAAGGACGACGGTGACTATTTAGAATTTTTCCCTCTGCAAGTCGCGCGCAGGCTTCATCAGAGTGGAGAGACGATTGGATGCCTGGTGGATGCAGATTTGCATGGCGAGGCCAATCTTGAAGAGGTTGAAAGAGTTTGCAAGGTTGCGTGCTGGTGCATTCAGGATAGCGAGCTTGATCCGCCGGCCATGGCCTCGGTGCAGTTTCTTGAGGGTCTTTCTGAGCTCGACGTGCCTCTGGTGCCAAGGCTACTCGATACTATCACGGGAGGGTCGCCGGCGCCGGTGTACTACCTCGAGTCAGGAGAGCTCGTCGTTTCAGACAAGCAAAATGAATAGCAAGCAAATCAATTTTCTTTGACAGGAGGCAGTAACATTTAGTTGCATGCACCTCAAACATGCAAATGATTAAGAAAACTTTCAGCGATTCACAGGAAAATTGTGGTTTGTATCCTATATATATAAATAAAGTTGGCATTTGTGATCATATGCTAGATCTCTCTTCAACCGAGAGGAAATTGTCATGGAAAACAGATACGCAAAGGTGCTTGTAACTTTAGGTACCCAACGATAAGTTTTCCAAACGGGCCTGGCCCATCGGGCCAGCACGGGCACGGTGCTGATTTGGCCCGGTCCGAAAACGGCCCGGCCCGGCCTCTCCCGTGCTCGTGCCAAGCACGGCACGGCCTCGTGCCCGTGCCTGGGCCGCTATGCTAGCCCGTTGGCACGGCACGGGCACGGCCCGCTCCAAAGGCCGGCACGGGGTCGGCACGGCTAAGAGCCGTTGGATGAAGCCCTCGGCGAGCGCTGGCCGTTGGATGAAGGGCTGCGGTGGGGCGCCTATATAAGCCAGGAGCCGCCCGGGGGAAGCTACTGTGCTCATTTCTTCCCCCTCCGCGCCGCGCGCACCTCGCTCTTCGGCTCTGCTCTCTCGTTCGAAACCCTAGCCGCTCACTCTCTTCTTTTCGCCGTCCGGTGGCTGGTGACAGCGGCGGTGGCTTGCACGGGCACACGGCACGGCCTTGTACACCCCTTCTCTTCTCTCTGACCGGCGATGTAGCTTAGTCGTTGAGATCTCCAACGAATCGTCTTCGTCTCTCTCTCGTCGCGCTCGTCGCGCTCGTCGATCTCGCCGGACTCCGGCGTCATTGGGGCTCCGCTATGATGCGTTGAGGTACCAGGACGCCGGATCTGAGCGATGTCGTCGTCGCCGTTGCCTCTGGTGCTCCGTCAAGCGAGGTGAGTTAGATCTGTTTCTTGTTCTTCTTCTTCTTCTTGATTCGCTGTTCTTCTTCACTTCTTCTTCTTGTTGATCTTGCTTTGTTGTTTTTTACTTCTTTTTCTTCTTCTTGATTTAACCCTAGATCTGTTTCTTTTTTTGAAGCCACTGGCGTTGAGGGACCGGAGGCCGGCGACGACGAGATGTCGGATGAGCAGGAGGACATCGGTCTCTCCATGACGATCAACGACGAGTTACGCCTCTGCGGGATGACCGGAGACGACGAGGACGATATTGTTGGGGATGCTGAGGAGCTCTTCGGTCATCGTGCTGCCGAGGAGCTCAACGGCGGTACTGCTACTCACCCACTTCCCATCGACGACGCTGACGGCCCCAACGCCGTCCAGGGCGACACTCAAGCCGCTGCTGATGATGGCTCAACCAGCCGGCCTAACCGCCCTTCTACCTCGGTTTGCTGGGAGGATTTCGAGAAGCTCTACAAGAAGGTAAATGGTAAGGATGTCAGGTATGGCGCTCGGTGTCTTCACTGCCGTAAGGAGTACTCTGCTAATTCTAAATTTGGGACTGGCCACCTTCTCCATCATCAAGACTCTTGCCCTAAAAAGCGTGAGAAATGTCGCATGGCTCAGTCCCACATTACTTTCAATAAGGATGGTAGTATGCGTAATTGGGAGTATTCTGCTGAGGTTGCTCGTGTTCAGTGTAACACCCCAGGTGTTTGTCACCAGTTAAGCAATGGGTTTGAGCTCAAACATGATAGATCAAGTGGTGTTGAAGAAGTCAAAGTCAAATGTATGAAATCGAGCTCAACTTGAATTTGGATAAAACGCTTTGTTTACATGATAACCCTTTTCAAAATATATATTTGAGCGATGTTAATGAAACTGGTTTCATGTGTCTCACATCACCCTCTATCTATAGTGATCACTGGAAAAGTTTCATGAAGTTTGGAATTAAAAAGTCACATGAAATGATAAGTTATATCCTTGTTGGAATGGTTTTACTAAGTGCTTGAATTGCACTATTAAGCGAATGGAAATATAGGTCATCAACCAAACCTTGCAACCTTGCCAAAATGACTCTAGATGAACTCTACAACAAAAGTCATGAAAGGTTCATGTTGAGCAAATGCCAAGAAAATGTCTCAATTGGACTAAAACCCTAGTTTAAAGCTTTATCATGATGCCACTCTAATCATAGTGGAACCTGGTCTTATTTACCAAATATGATGTTGCGCCTTAAATAAAGGTTGTAGACCATATCACGGGGAACAAACTTTGTTTAATGTCCCAGAGCTAATTCTGAACCTAGCTTGGTCAAATCAAGCTCACGAAATTGAATCCAGTGCTGTTTTGAAGCTTCAAAAATCGGCTAAGTCTGGAATGACTGAAATTCGTGATTTCCGTTTCCATGTACCTGTCTTTGGTGATTTTTAGTTTGCAAACCGTGTCGAACTTGGCCAAACTTATTTAAGAAAAGTTGTCGTCCTCATATAGTTCTACAACACTGTGCAATTGGTTTGGTTTTTAATCACTACGTTTATGAGTTATGAAGGGAGGAAGATCGGTGTTTCAGTGTATTTTTGTGGTGGTATTGCCAGCTCCTGAGTTGATTTCGAACTGGTACTCGTCATGGCCGACCGAGCACAGCAAGCCGCTGCCGCGTGGCCTCACGCTCGCCCGCATGCGCGCCACGGCACCGTGCTCGCTCGCCTTGAAAGCCCGAGCCCTGCCCCTGCTCTCTCCATTCTCCTCCTCCCTCTCGTTGTCTCCTTGCTCCGCTCCGCTCCGTGCCGAGGCGCACGTCCGCCATGGACGCGAGCAGAGCAGAGCCGCTCCCTGCTCCTTCCTCCTCCACCCACTGGCCGCACCACCGCCGCCGCCGCTATGGCCTTCAACCGCAGTCGGCACACCCCTCCTCTTGCGTCGTTCGCCGCCAGGGCGACCTCGCTGTCGAGGCCGCACCAAGCACCACCATGGCCGGCGAGCCGAGCTCCGATCCGCTGCCGCCGTTCCCTGCCTCCGGTCCCTCTCCTCCCTAGCTGAAGGTACCACCGCCTCCGCCTCCTTCTCCTCTCCGACCGGCGATCCTCGGCCGAGCGGGAGACCGCCGCAGCAGCCCAGCCATCGGAGCCGCCGCTGTGTGGGCCGCCGCGCACGTGGCTGGGGCTCCACGCTCCACCTCGGGCCGAGCCGAGGGCCTCTGGCGGGTGAGCGTGGACCCACCGGTGCTCCCCCGCCCCTCAGCCGCCGACGGCATGGCCTCCTACGGCCGGAGCAGCGAGCTCCGACGGCCTCCCTGCTCAAATCCCGTCAGGGACCTCCTACTAGAATTCGACGAAGTTCAGGGTCCTAACTGCATTGTCATTGACTCAAGTGAATAGTACCTCGAGGACCTATTTGTTTTAAATCGGCTGAAAGTTTAGAAAATCATAGTAATTCATAGGAAATTCGTAAAATAGCAAATGAGGACTTTTTGGAATCCTTGTGAAATTCTCTATGCACTAGATCTATAATATTACATGTTTTACTTTAAAGTTTTAGCTGTAAAAATATATTTATGCAGCTAGGTTTGTAATGCTAGTGGTATTTATTTTTTTTTTATAACTGTAGATCTAGGGCTTCAAATGAAGTGAAATTTTTTGTGGCATGCTACTCATGTTATGTTTGATGTGTGATAAAAATTTCATGAGTATTGGATGAAGTATGAGTGAGTTATTGGTTTATCTTGCTCTCACATGATTTCTTGCTTTAGCGACTTGTCTTTTTCATAGAGGTTGCTATACATATTCAAATGGAGTGAAATTTGTACAGTAGACTATTGAGAGGATATGTGAGCCACTGTAATTTTAGTAGAATTTATTGTATACTTTTGGTATATGTTCATTAAGTCACCTTGTTATCTAAAATAAATTAAAAAATGCATTAAAAGAATTTATTTGGTCATGGACACTAGGTTTTCTGGTGTTATTTAGTCATGTGTGACATGTTGGTAAAGTTGGTTTTGCCTAATTATGTGTTTGCAACATAAGTTAATATTTATTTTCTTGCAAATGTGGTTTCTGGACATATCTGGGAACTTAGCAAAGTTCTTCATGATAATATGCTTTGTTGTGAAACTTGTTTATATAAAAGTTGTAGATAATTCATGTATCTAGCTACTGTTAAAATTTGGTGTCATTTGGCCAAGTAGTTTAAGAGTTACAACTGTTTAAAGTTAGAGTACAGGATTTGTTGCTCTCTGTTTTGTATGAACCAGTTTATGTAAAGGTATAATTTCGACCTACTTAACTTGGGAATCATGCTGTGATGGTTATATATGAAATGTAGATAATTTCATAAGCTTTCCAAAATGTCTTCTTGCAAGTCATTTGGATTTGTGTAACTACAGTTATGCTTCTCTGAAGTTGCAATCAGTTTTATGTCCATGTCTGGACAGGTCTGAAACATCTACATATTTGACCTGTTTAACTTTGTAATTAGCTTTTTATGTAAACATCAATCTTGTATACAATTTCTATGGATTTTCATAAAGTCTTAGATCATCCTTGTGGGATGTTTGTAGCTTAAGTTATGTTTGAAACAAGTGACTGTTTGCTGCTGTCCAAATCTGCTTGTATCTAGAATTGTTTGCTTCTACTTGCTCTTGTTTGTATGATTGCAAATGGTTATCTTGGACACCTAGAGTTAAGGTAGCATGCCTAAAATGTTTTGCTAAATTGTGAAGTGCTTGATCATGTATAGCTAGCTGGTTGTATGACATGCTTATGTGTGTATAGTGTAACATATGCTTGTTTAGTATGCTTGTTGCATTCCTTCATGTGTATTCTTTATGTTCATGCATCTGCATCTATGCATCTCATCCTAGGTACGCTAGGTACAGCACGTGGACGTGGAGCGCATGATGTGGAGACAGACGATGGGGTATGGTGGACCTATCCCGAAGGTGGAAGGACTGGACAAGTGCTAGGACGGGAGATGCTCACTTAGCGAGTGTCGTCTACCTAACACTGACTTGTGTCGGATCCCAGGCAGCCCCGGAGCATTCTAAGTCTCCCATGTTTTTACAAATATCTTGAGTATCTTTTATTGTTGATGAT